CATCAGGAAGTTTCTCCTTAGTTCTAGGTTGCTTCTCTCTTTGGTTAGCTTCCACCCGTTGCTCCTTGTCCTGCCTTCAGGTGCTTTGGAAAATAGCTTGACTTCCTCTTCTTTGTGGCAGCCCCTGAGATACTGGAACACTGCTGTCATGTCCCCTCTCGTCCTTCTCTTTGTTAAACTAGTCTTGCAGATGTTGTTGTAGGCACAAAAAGCAAATCAAGTAAGATGTTTTTATGGGAAGGTTTCGCCTTCATTGAAAATCTTTTCCTTTCTTTCTCTCTTAATTTCTCTTATCATTTTTTTGTCTCTCAAGTTCTTGTAGTTCTCCTGACAGCTCTGTAATCCATTTTGACAAATCTTTTTTCTTGTCCTCAGACTTATTTTGTGATTTTAGAGTATGTTATCTTTTCCATGTCCAACGTTTCCTGCAAGTTTTTTTCCACCTGGGTTATGTCATACTTCCTTCTATTGTTAGTTTCCATTTTTAAATCTCTTTCCTCTGGTTATTTATTCAATTGTTTGTTTTATCTGCTCGCTCTCTATTTTTATTTTCTTAGAGTTTTTTTGTTGTAAAGTTAAATTAGAAATGTATTCATTTATATTTTCAAAGTTATTTTTAATTTCCTCATGGTTTGAGATCATTGTTGTTTGAATTAGTTGCAACATAGCATACATCTCCTCCTGGAAAGTGTTTGTTTTTTCTTGATATATTCTTTCTGCAGATCTCTGGTTTTCCATGATAGCCAAAAATCAAGGTTTTCCTTTCTCTGCAGACAGCTTTAGAGTCACAGTTGAATAGATATTTGTAATCCAGAAAGGTCAATTTTTTTCTAAAGTTTATAATTCTCACTTTGTAGGTAGCCCAAAATATTTTCTTTTTTTGTCACAGCTGTCCTCTGTTATTAAGATATTGAAGGTCACAACAGCAAGTTATCTTTTCCTGGGCTTTGCCAGTTCCTGTATTGGAGCAACTACTGTTGGTATATTTCTGTCCCCCATAAAAAGTTTAATTTGCCAGGAGGCAGGTTTGTGTGCGTGTTTGTGTGTGTATGTGTGTCTCCCCCTTGCAGCCCCCCATCCCAAGCAGAGAAGATTGGAAGAAGGCTTTAACACATTCTGTGCTGCACAACAGGTGGAGGGGAGAAAAGAGTCTCCGTATTCTATTCACACAGATGCTGGTAATGCTCTGTGAACATTGCATTGGTTTAACACACTTCCTCTTTAAGAAAAACATATGGAGCAGCAGCAGCCCCCCCCCCCCCCAGCCCCTGTGATCAACCATTGCCCATTGCATGCTGCCCCCGCAAGCACCATTGCTTCTGCCTGCCATCCGACTGGCTGGTGGCTATTTGTCCCGTGCAGCCGAAGGGCCAGGTCAATAGAGCTGAAATTGTTTGGCAGATGGCACTTTCACTTCATCGCCTTAATTAACCAGGAGATCACTTAACAACCACAACTGGAAGTCCCAGGATTGTGGCCACTGAACAAAATAGTCATAGGGGCATCTTGCTTAATACTGCTTTGCACGATGACTAAGAATTTGGTCCCATTTGTGGTTGTAAGTCAAGGACTTGCTGTATTAGAAAGCAACTTAGTATGACAATATTGAAGTATTCTATAAACCCCATTTTACTATCAGCAATGCAGTAATTTATCTCACCTTGAACATCCAGATGATTTGCCATTACCAGCAATGCCCATTTCAGAGAAGATGAAGTTGTATCTGTCCCAGCAACAAAGAGGTCAAAAATGCAATGAGTCAATTGGTCTTCATTATAGGTAGAATTGGGATGGTCCTTGCTCTGTGTTTAACAGTAAGCATGGCAAAATGGTATTTATAAACATGTATCTTTTATTGCTCATATTTTTCAAATTTTTCTTCTCTAAAATGATTAAGACTGAATCTCCTAGTGTCCATGAATACTCTTGTTTCCTTTTGGATATCAAAAATGCCTAATATTAGCTCTTCTGCTTTCAGTAGCTTCTTGTTATTTCTGGCTTGTTAGTTAGCAAGCCAGAAAGGACAAGTGGCTCCTATCACATGACTGCTTACATTATTCCAGGACCTTGGAGAAGGAACTTGGTGAAAGGCTTAATTGTAAATAAGGCAGTGGATAAGATAAGATAAGATATAACCTTTATTGTCATTTTTATACTGTGAACCTTGCTTCGGATACCCTGAAACCCCCTCCCAGAAGGTAACAATAGGTCATGAAGAGGATGTGTATGGGAACATGAATTGTAGGTGGATCTACAAATGACACCCTCAGTAATACATAGGAAGGGTGATTGGTGGAATCTGCAGCTCAAGTGGGGAGAGGAGTTAAGATACTGGCTAGCCTGGAATCTCTGAAGGGGAGGAAGTGATGGAGAACCCCAAAGTGCTTATCTGGTTGTGCTGTAGATAGTGCAGTTAGTCTGATGAGATTCTTGTGAACAGGTGAGCAGCAATAAACATAATGCTGTGATCAATTATCAGCGTCATTCTGGTTTCTTGCACCTGACTAGTGCAATGATTTCCCATAAATCAATATTCCCGTATAATGCAAATACTTACTTTTTCTATTTGAAACAAATAGAAATCAATAAAATCCTGTGGCTCGTGCAGATTCTGATTCTCCTTATGATGTTTAACCTGCTTCCTTGAAAAAGAAATAATTCTCTTACATGCAGATTTGACAGTCTGGTGAGGACCTGGCAGATATTTCATGATATGTGGGAAAACTTCATAGAGCTACAGAAAAAACAAAGCAAATCTAGTTGCAACTCAGGCAGCTGTTTCATATAGATAGTGAGCCAACTCCTATGGATTACCACTTCAACCATATTTCCCTGAACCTAACTACATGGAATTTAGCCTTTTGGTAGATCGAGTCAATCCACAAGAGAAATCTATTGTTTTGTTTCTTAACAACAGATTCTCACATTCATCAGTTATGTACAATATATGTGTACATACTCATGTATGTTGAAATTACACAACTCAAGCTTTCGGTTTATAGCCTTGACACATTTGGATGGCATCTCCCTGGAGAAAACATTGCCACATGGACAATATTTTCTTCTGTCAACAATCCTCATGCTGATACATTCTTTCTCATTATCTCCTTTACTGCAAAACATCCAACTTTTAGCTTAAAGATTAACTAATTTGACAGTGTGCAACATTTATATTGCATTGAAATTAAAAAAATGAATAAGAAAAAGTTGTGAATGTGAATTTCTGTTAATGTGGTAAATTATGAACTGACTAATTAGGCTGGGAAGGGAAAAGTCAGAACAGCAGCAAAAGTATTAATACTCACAGCATGACATATGCTGCCTGCAAATTTTAAGGTAACCCTGACCGCTTCTATCAACTCCAGGAACTCCTTGTCATCAGTGGAAAACCTATATCCAAAAGCTGCAGCACAGATAGTGTTGCAGAATGAATTTGTGATGGGTATTGCTGGATCAAAGGCCTGCCCTGAAAATGAAAGGATCACTATTAATTTTCACATTAATCCTGTAAATACCCAAAAAACGACATGCTCTGATTGAGCTTGCTTGAAATAAACAAAAAAAACTTGCGGTTATTACTTACTGTCTATTACAGTGATGGCGAACCTTTTAGAGACCGAGTGCCCAAAAACTGGCCCCGCCCCTGCTCCACTTCCCTGCTCCGCCTCTGCTCTGCCCATCCCCCGCCCCACCTGCCCACAGGACCACTCACCACCTCCAGGGCCCGCCGCAGATCTCCCAGGCAGCCCAGCAGCGCTATGGTGGCCACACTCTCTGCCCACACCCTGCAGCATCAACTGCATGATGGGGTGTGAGGGCAGAGTCTTGTCTACGCTGCCTGGCTGCCATGTCCCTGGCTGCGTTGCTCCGTGTGGGCCACGCTCGAGGGCGAGTCTCCTTCAGGGGGGCTGCTGGAGAGGAGGGGGTCATGGGGGGAGGCAAGGCTGGGGCAACGGCACGTGTGCCCACAGAGAGGGCTCCGAGTGCCACCTCTGGCACCCGTGCCATAGGTTCGCCACCACTGGTCTATTATATAGCCTAACTGTATAGTAGATAATAAATATTATATAGCCTAAGTGTTGAGAATGCAGCTTTAATACATTGCAGCAAAACTTGCAAATTTAGAAAAAAAACTTTGAATAATATCTCTATCAGAAATTCCTTGGCTGTCAATACGCTTTTTTCAAGAATATTCAGGATTACCTCTTGTTTTGGTTTATCTTTTATGTGCTTGAAGAAGGAGTGATATATCTTAAAAACAGAATATTTAATTATTATTTTTTTTGGACACACTGCTTCTGAACTGAATGCATTTGATCATGAGAGAATATTTTAAGCATCTATAGAACACAGTGCTAGATGAACAACCATAATTTTTCTGGACATAAGGATACATTTAGAATAAGAAAGTGTGTTCTGGACTACACTTAAATAACCATTACATCACAAAACTGTCAGGTTTAAAATGTTGGAATCATCTCTTCTAACACGCTTTCTATATTTGTATGCACATATGAATTTAAATATTATGATGGAGAGATTAGCATAACATTTATAAATTGAACTGGATAATTTATGTTTCAGCATGTTGCGTGAAACATCAGGTTCATTTATATGTTTGAGTGGTATTTTCTTTTTCTTGACTATGAGAGGGACCTTGGAGTCCTAGTGGACGATCACTTAACCATGAGCCAGCAGTGTGCAGCAGCAACCAAAAAAGCTAATACAATCCTGGGTTGTATAAACAGAGGCACAGAATCAAGATCACATGAAGTATCATTAACGTTTTATAAAGCCCTAGTAAGACCACACCTAGAATACTGCAGCCAATTTTGGTCACCATATCACAAAAAAGATGTTGAGAGTTTGGAAAAAATTCAGAGAAGAGCAACTAAGATGATCAAAGGCCTGGAGACTAAAACATACAAAGAATGGCTGTGGGACTTGGGTTTGGCTAGTCTAAAGAAAAGAAGAAACAGGGGAAACATGATAGCAGTGTTCCAGTATCTGAGGGGCTGCCACAAGGCAGAGGGGGCCAGGTTGTTCACCAAAGCACCAGAGGGCAGGACAAGAAGCAATGGTTGGAAACTGACCAAAGAGAGAAGCAACCTGGAATTAAGGAGAAACTTCCTGACAGTGAGGACAGTTAACCAGTGGAACAGCTTGCCACCAGAAATCATGGGCGCTCCATCACTGGAGATTTTTGAGAAGAGACTAGACAGTCACTTGTCTGAGATGGTATAGGTTCTCCTGCTTGAGCAGGGGGCTGGACTAGAAGACCTCCAAGGTTCTATTCTATTCTATTCTATTCTATTCTATTCTATTCTATTCTATTCTATTCTATTCTATTCTATTCTATTCTACTCTACTCTACTCTACTCTACTCTACTCTACTCTACTCTACTCTACTCTACTCTACTCTACTCTAGTCTTTCCCCTCCTCTCTCTCTTTTTGTTTCTTCTCCATCTGTCCCGAATCCTTTGACAAGCTTTGTTATTTCTTTTGCAACCAATAATTTCATAAATGTTACAATATTTCATGGCTTTACTAGTTCTCAAAATATTACATTAAATCTCAGGAGAACATCCGCTGATGGAAGCTATTTCTTTCCTCAAAATATCAGTCTATGAAACAGGAAAGTTGGAAGGCTTAGGAACACCATAGAAGGTGCTGAGCATAGTCATAAATGAACAGTGAGAGAACATTGGAAGAATTTTGCAGATGAGATTCAAACCACCATCACCTCAAATGATCACTTACCCTTTGTACTTGTAAAGAATTCCACCAGGTGCTGAGCCTCCTCTTGGATTTGAGTTTCCAGACCCCTTTTCCCTAGTCCCAGCTTCCTCATGGTAATAACACTAAAGCGTCTTTGTTGCATCCAGACATGACCATGTGAGAAGGCAATACCTGAAGACACCAAAGAAAAATCAGAAATCATTGCTCACTAAAATTAATAGGAAGGTATTAGGGTTGATAGCCTAGAAAATACTTTAAACCGAACCCTGTTAGTTGGCCCTATTGGTTTTGAGTGGTACAGTATAACAAGGGAGAACACAGTAATATCCTACATCTTTGACCATGGCTTACCTCTGTTTTTGGTAAGAACGGAAAGAAAAGGTGTGGGTGGACGATCAACAAAGGCTTGCGAATTGTCAATCAATCCTTCTTTCACAGCTTTGTATCCCGAGAGGATTACAGCATGTTGATTCCCTATCCACAGAGAATAAATGTTCCCATATTGTTTTGCCAGCTGCAGTTTGGAAAAAAGATAAAAGTTTTATATTATTCTAACAAAGTTTCAGCTTAATAGTAAACCTTCTACTCTTCTCATCTTCCTTTCCTTCTCTTACATACAAAGCTTGGGAAACTTCAGTCCATGGCCCAGTGTGACTCCCAACATTGGTGCTGGATTTTGAAATAGCTAGCGAGACTACAACTTAACAGTTTAGAAATACACTATGCTTCTGAATACTGAATGATTGAATTTCAATCTTTATAGAAGAGGATAGAAAAAAAATCAAAATAAGTATCTCCTGAGAGCAGGTGGTTTCTATTGTGATGATCAACGTAGTGTTATTTTAAGACAGAAAGTTTAATTCAGGAGGGAAGCATTCTGATTGGTTGGAGGAGGACTTGGATACAGTGGACTATATGATGCCCAGACCATTGCTTCAAGCACAGAGGGTTCTAAACTATTCATGGCTGCAGCTGTCATAAAATGTGCCAAACTCAATAAAATAAAATTGGAAGAGATTTGGAGACCTTCTAGTCCAACTCTATTGCTGATTTTGTGGAAAGCATTTGAAGCTCAGAAGAAGCACAACCTAATAATAATAATAATAATAATAATAATAATAATAATAATAATAATAATAATAATAATGATGATGATGATGATGATGATGATGATGATGATGATGATGATGATGAAAATAATAATAATAATAATAATAATAATAATAATAATAATAATAATAATAATAATAATAATAATAATAATAATAAAAAAAAAGTTGGGAAAGACCTCCGAGGTCATCCAGTCCAACCCCCTGCTCAGGCAGGAAACCCTACACCATTTCGGACAAATGGCTGTCCAGTCTCTTCTTAAAAACTTCCAGTGTTGGAGCATTCACCGCTTCTGGAAGCAGGTTGTTCCACTACTTAATTGTTCTAACTGTCAGGAAGTTTCTCCTTAGTTCTATGTTGCTTCTCTCCTTGGTTAGTTTCCATCCGTTGCATGAGCTACTTCACTAGACATAGCAGGTATGAAGAACATCAAGGACAAGGTCTTGCAAAGCCACAGCAATAAAAGCAATGTCCCTCTAGTACAGGGGTGTCAAACTCATAACGTCACAGGACGTCTCGTGACATCGCGACTTTTTTTCCATTGCCGGCAATGGGGTGGGCACGGTTTCGGCATGATGCATCCAGCCAGTGTGCCGGCAGTTTGACACCCCTGTATGGTTTTGATATTTCAGTTACTTTGTTATCACCATGCTGGTGTGAATCTTTCATGCAAAAATTGTTGCAAACTGCACAAGGGTTGTTGTATGATATTGAGGACTTCTTGATAGAACCCGCAAAAATGTCCCATTCTTTAAGACAACATGAAACCATAAACAGTTCTTTTTTGAAGAAAGAACTCTCTTGCATGAAGATGTCCTGGTGTACATTTGGAGAATCAACAGTGAGTGGCAAAAATAAATTTTCAGCTTGACTATGAAAAGATAATCACAAACAGCATAAATATATTTATATAGACCCTTCTCTTCATTCCAACACTCCTGGAGATACATTTGGGGAAAATAGAATTTTTTTTCTCCGCAATGTCTCTGTGTTCTTCTCAGTTATTGTCCCATCAGTATTAGAAAATGTGATTCAGGCAAAACTTTGGTCAATAAGGTAATATGTGTCTCAAGGCTCTGTTAATAGGTGTGTGTATGTGTGTTCTTTAATTTTACTGTAGTTTTTCTCAGTTGCCTTGAGTGACACTTTTTGGCTGAAAAGTTCTGTACACGTATCAATAAAATAAAAAAAGAACTGACAAGGATATGTAGATAATCCTTCTGGACTACTACTACTACTACTACTACTACTACTACTACTACTACTACTACTTCTTCTTCTTCTTCTTCTTCTTCTTCTTCTTCTTCTTCTTCTTCTTCTTCTTCTTCTTCTTCTTCTTCTTCTTCTTCTTCCTTCTCCTTCCTTCTCCTTCTCCTTCTCCTTCCCCTTCCCCTTCCCCTTCTCCTTCTCGCAAGACTTAGGTTTAGGATTTCAGCTGAGATGGGTATAAAGAGACACAAGAAGCTGAAGCTGCTTCCATTTATCTCCTAGAAGCAACCCTTGGTAGCCCATCTTAGCTCCTAAAAAAAGTTGGTGTACCATTGAGATCCCCTCATTTCTTATTTATTTATTTAATCACATTTGTATAGTTGCTCATCTCACACAATGACTCTGGGCAGCGTGTCAGAGTGTGCACAGTCTTATTGCGTGAGATAACCATGGAGTAAATACAGTAAACAGTGGTCTATATTAAATGGTGGTTTATCTTACACTATCTACAATATCATATGCCAGGAACAATATACATATATGTGCTAATACAGCAGGATCCAACAAACCACAATTACAGCAGGAAATGGAAGAAGAAAGAACACATCAGCAGAGCCTTCCCTTTATACAAATGCTCTTAAAGAAACACAGACCCTGCTGAGTCATTCCCATCATTACATCTTACATTTTACATTAGATAAGCTGGTTAGCTGTTAAATCATTACCGTGACACAGCGTACATAATAATAATAATCAATACATATATAAACTTTAAAACAATTCATTTAAATTTAAAAAATAAAAATAAGAGCAAGTTTTTTTATTTACCCTTAATCATGAAGTCTTTAATATTAACCAGAAGTTTAGAAATGTACCATTCATTGTGCTGGATAATAAGATTGCCCTTCTATACCTATGTACCTATTTTCTGAGATCTTTTTTGTAGAAAGTTCAGATCCACTCTCTCTTCCTCCCTCCCTCTTTCTCATATACATCTACCAATGCCCAGCTGGGTAATAACATGTCTTCAAGCAAATAACCAAGCTCAGACAACACCAAAGACTGCACAGTTCCACTCTGAGCTACCTATAGTCTTTTCTATTTGAAACTTTGAAGCTCTCTAGAAGATTAGAAACAGCATAGAATGTAGTTAAAAAGATGCCAAGAAATAGCTCATCAAAAGCAAAAAAACATGGGAATTACTTCTTTGCAACATGTTGCATCAGGGGTCCCCAGCCTCTGGTCTGCAGACCAGTACTAATCTGCGGCCCTTTGGGAACTACCTGGGAAAGTCCATCTGCGCAAGCAGCAGGCGCACAGGTGAAACCATCACCTTCCTTCACTTGCCACCACTGCTGCCAGTCCATGGAGCTGGGAAGGTTGGGAACCACGGTGCTGCATAATCCTGTCTTTCCTATCATAATTCTCTTATGTACTAAGAAAAACATATCATATAAGTCAGTGGTTCTCAACCTTTTTAATGCCGCGACCCCAACCGGTCGTAAGTCGAGGACTAAACCGGTCGTAAGTCGAGGACTACCCAACCGGTCGTAAGTCGAGGACTTTCCCTGCCCGGGAGCGCCGCGCATGCGTGCCCCCTGCGCCGGCCGAGGCGTAGCTGGCAAGCGGCAGAGACGGAGCAGGCCGACCACCAGCTGGCCCAGCCTAAGGGAGGTAAGGCACCCGCCGGAAAAGGAAAAAAAAATGGCAGACAAAAAAATGGCGGACAAAAAAAATGGCGGACAGCCTTGCTTGGCGACCCCCGTGAAATGGTCAATCGACCCCAAATGGGGTCCCGACCCACAGGTTGAGAACCACTGATATAAGTCAACTGGTTTGGTTTGAAGCTGTAGTTCACTGCAAAAAATTCTCTGATTATTTACAACCTGAGCTGAAGATTGCAATGTCATATTTAATAATTATTTAACAAAGCCATTTAAAATGATGTTTCTAGAATAGATAATTGCAATGCAACTTTAACATAGTTTCTGGGTATGATAAAGACAATGATGACTTGAGTCACATATATAAGCTGTGCTTATACGGCATGATTAACTAGCTCAAGTAAAGGCATAGAACAGGCATGCCAAACTGCCGGCCCACGGGCTGGATGCATCATGCCGAAACCATGCCTACCCCATTGCCAGCAATAGAAAAAAAGGTGCGATACATCGTGCGACGTCAGAAGTTTGGCATGCCTGGCATAGAAGATTCATTGGCACAACACTCTGAGATTGTTATCTTTGGGTAATGTTTTTGTAGTGACTTATGTTGTGCAAGTATTAAGTAAGGTTAATATAGTTTACTGAGTCAGATGAGAACATACATTCTGCTACTTATTGGGCTGAGGTAGCACTCATGACCCAAAGAAAAATAAGTCCCACTGAGTTTCTTAAGGGTGGTTTCCACATAATAGTGGCAGCCTAAGTGAGAATTTGAATTCATACATTACATTAAATCATAATGCAATGTATTGCACTTGGGATAGCCCAGACTGCTGTTTCTATAATTATTCAGTAAAACACTAAAGCAAATAAGGCCTTAATGCAATATATGAGCCTAGTTAGTAGTTTAGGATTTCTGAAGTTTACACTGTGAAAGTAAGCAAAGCTATTCTTACCATACATATACCATCGTTTCCCACTGCTTCCTTCTAGATGGGTTGGGACTACCATTTTCAGAATTCCTGAACAACAGGGATGAAGAATTTTTTCAACTATATTTCTGAATTCTTGGGAAACTACCAGATTAGATAGCTTGCCAGTAAGACGTGGAAAAAAGAAAAAGTTAAACAAACAGTTCCCCATTAGCCATGCTCTGCTCCAAATATGTCTGATTGCGGACCCAATACTTTGAGAAGGATTCATGTAAGAGGTTCAGAGAAGGACAATGGGGAATGGTGATAAGGCCAGGAATTAAGGGCAAATCCACATTGCCTTCTTCAGTGCTTTTTTGTAAAAAAAAAAAGGTGCCAGAACTCACACACGTCATACAACCTGCCTTGCCTACCCTACAAAGTTCCATCCCAAAAAGGTGCCGGAACTCCGTTCTGGGCGTTCTATGACAAAAAAAGCCCTGGCCTTCTTATACTAAGGTAAAAAAACCCACTACCCATTTACTAAACACAGTTCTGCCTGTATCTTTTTGTTTCTCAGTGTCCTCTCTCAGCTGAGATAGCAACTTAAGGTGTCACAT